TATGGAGTCGGAAAAGCTTACAGTGGTGAAAGAGGATGATAACAAGCCTTCTACTTCCAATAAAAATAAACCTGAGCTTGCAACATCAAACAAACCATGCGAGTCTTGCGAAAAATACAACGAAGCTTCAAAATATATCACAACTGAAATAATCTCTTCTAAAAGTATATTGTCTTCTAAAAGTTCAAAAAAATGTAAGAAAAAGACAGGCGCGGTCAATACTAAAGACAAGCCATGTGAAGCAACTGGTATTATGGTCACAAAGGAGAAATTATTTTCTCAAGCAATGTCTCCCAAAGATTTTAAAGAAAAAGTTAAAAGTATGAAACCCAAAAATCCGTGTAAAGTGCCACCGGAAAAAGAGACTCCTATTGATCCGCGTAGTTTGCCGATACGCCAATATTTAACCGAATACATTGAACCTATTTTTGGCGATGCTTTAATTGCACTGGCTCGAGAACTTCCTCTGGAACCAATAGAATTTTTGTCTTCCTATATACGAACTGCTAAACAAAGAGAAAATGAAAAATTTCCTAACAACTTATCTGGTCCACCTAATCCATGAAGTTATGTATGTTATAGGTACTGAGATGGAACGCTACAACGCAATTGTTTAAATAAAATCATACCATGATTGTTTTGTTAAAGATATAAATAAAATTATTAAATATGTATTTTAAATGCTTGTATTCTTGTTAATAAATATGCGTCATCAACAAATTCTTAAAAATATCGAAATTTTCTTTCATTACTTTCAAGTTATAGTTAAAATTGCAAAAAATCTTTGCTCCAAAATGTCTAGAATATCTATATAAATATTCTTTATATGCCTATATAGTTTTGCGTTTGAATTTTCCATCAGATTAAATAATAATGTGTGGTCTTAGTTTGTCAAGTTGGTTTCTTGGGACCGTGTCATATGATGAATTGGTCATGGTAGTTTTACGTTCTTTCTAGTTATGACCTGATTTATTGCTTTAAAAGCAAATTGAATTGGCCGTTCAGATCCATCTTCAAATTTATGACTTAATACCGCTCCCGCACACACTGGTCTTGGATCTACTGAGCATTGGACCTGTTATCTTGATATCATGTAAAAAACCTTTTACTTCAGGAATATCTGCTAATAATTGTTTCATGAATAGTTGCTATTTAGCTGGCTATTCCAAATATCGCCGGTTGATATAACCCTTTGTGCGTATTTAATATTAATAAATGTCTATCGTTAGGATGTAGCTCCATCTGCAAATACGATTTGGATAAAAACGTTTGATTTTTGTAAATTTCTCTTCGCCGGACATAGAACTAAATAATCCTTCCATTGTAGGTAAAGGATGTTTACCGATTTCCAATCCTGGATTTAGTGTAACTTTATAGTGTGACTATTCCACTTTAACCAATTACCCTCACGCATTTAAACCTCAATCTCGTTTTCTAGTGCTTCGAGTAAAAAAAATGCCACTTTCCTGGCTTTTATAAATTTTTGCGATATATTTGGATATACATATATTCGAGCCTGGTGCCCTTTTATTTTGCCTACTTTTTTCGAAAATAGGTTTATCTTTTTAAATAATTTTGTCCAGTCAAGGTTCAGAGTGTATAACCTCTCTCTACCTTACAATGGTTTCTTGTCTGAAAGTATTACATAAACTTTCAACCATCTGTCATTCACCGTTACTTCCACGTAATCCAAACATTCAATTGCCATTTTGCAATAACTAAACAAGTTTACATCGTTTGGCCACACTTTAGATTTAACAAAATATTTCTTGGCATCATTTACATTTCCTATAATGACTAGAAAACCCCTGTCTAGTTTAAATTCGATTTGACTAATGTTCAATTGCAATTGCAATTGCGGCATGGGCTTATACGAATTTATACTTATTTTATTAATGCATTATTAATCTTAATAATATTTACAAAAACAATTATTTCTGCTTTCTTATTAGGCTGCGGCTACTTTGCATGCGAATTTTGTCTTGCGTGTTCGTACATATGTTTTCTCGTGCGAACACATCGCATATTGTGGTCACATTGCTTACGAATTGACAGTACTTTTTTTGAAACCAATAATAATGAGACAGTTTTTTTGCATAGTTAATAATATTATTATTATTAAATATTATTATTAGTAAATATTATTATTTTTAAATATTTAGCGAAAGGCATAAAAATAGAGAGTTTGCCAAATCTTTTGGCGAATAAGAGCAATGTGAACAAAAGTTTTTTGAATACGCTAGAATTTAAAAAATGCAATATTCCATTATATTCTGAATGGTATTCCATCTAGAATTAATTAGTATTTTAACTTTCGAGACTGCTTTTCTCCAATGGATTAATTAATTGTTACAATACGATAAGTGTTTACTATACAGTATGTAACAAATTTGTAACAATTTATTTTAATTAAAATAAATAAAAATAATTTAAATAATTTAATTTAATAATAAATTTAAATAAAAATAATTAAAATTCTCCTAAAGCCACCAACTAATAAAATTAACAAATCGTAATCCATTTTCAAAAACTGACAAATGTATGTTTTCAAATATGTTTCCTTTTACAAAATTTGAACTTCGAAATTCGAATGAAAACAACACACACCTCTTAATTTGTACCTTCAATTTCGTACAACCGAATGAATTTCAAACAAAATATTTTGTTTAATCAAATATTCGCATGAGAAAGACAAGACATCGCGCGAATAGTTCTCAGCAACTGTAACCACTCGCATATGATAACGTACATTTGATTCGTTCGTACGAACAGGCAAGAAAAAAATTCGCATGCAATGCAACGGCGGTCTTATTCATTTTTCACTTTCTGAACGAAATGTTAAATTTTTAAATTAATTTGTAAACAACTATTGATTAATTCTAATAAATCACGGCTAAGTTGAACAAAACGAAATTATTTGGAAAGTTAAAAATTATTGTTGGAATAAAAGATATAACCTTTATAAAAGAAACAAATAAGATAGCGTAGCAGTCGAAATCACTGCATAAATCTATTTATCACTAAATAAAGATATAAACATACCTTGTGATCAAAAAAGAACGAATTCGTTCTTTTTTTGAATTTCCGCACTTATCCAATCTATAATTTTTTTTATTTTCACGCTGTCAACACTATTATACACATTCTGTTAAAGTTTACCGCATATCGTACGATTAGTTTTTGTTTGGCGTCTATATTTCGTGTGGCGAATTTCATTAAAAACAAGCGTCGTTGTGATGTGACCAAAGAGATAATTTCCAACGTAGATAGTGACCCCACATTTATCGAACGCATCATAACTGGTGATGAGACATGGGTCTATGAATTTGACATGCCCACCAAACAACAATCGATCGAATGGTGCTTCGAAGGTGAGCCGAAACCGAAAAGAGAACGCCAAAGTCGGTCCTAAATCAAGGTTATGCTAACTGTTTTCTTCGATATTCGTGGTGTGGTGCACTATGAATTCCTTCCGGACAGTCAAACGGTCAGTAAGGAGTATTATTTGGTTGTTATGCGTCATTTGCGTGACGCCAGATTTATGGAAGGAAAATTCATGGATTTTACACATCGATAACGCACCGGCTCACACAAAGTTGGTTGTGTCGCATTTTTTGGCCAAAAATTCCACCAATATCATCAATCAAGCACCGTAATCTCCAGATATGGCCCCGTATGACTTTTTCTTCTTCCCCCGACTCAAATTGCCGTTGCGAGGAACGCATTTTGATACCATAAAGGCCATAAAAGAGAATTCGCTGCGTGAACTAAAGACCATACCTTCGGCGGCCTATAAAACTTGTATGGAAAATTGGATCAAGCGTTGACATGCATGTATTGCCGCAGGAGGAGAGTACTTTGAAGGCGATAATAAAGAAAATTATTAAAAATTAAAATTTTGCGTTTTTTTTTTTACTTCTCGTTCTTTTTTGATCAAATGGTATGTTCCTAATTGACCAAACTGTCTTTGATGACATTGTCCGTAGTCCATCTGTTTGAAAATATCTTTGATCATCATCATACAATTAGATCGACAGGTCGTTATGTTTGTCTTCATATCTTGCAGTCTGTTTCAAAGACGGATCTAACGATTTCTAGGGATTCACACATACCTATATATATATTAAATCAAAATATATTCATTTAACCAAAGAGAAAATATATTGTCTTTAATTTTAAAGTATTTTCTGGATTTGTGGGCTAATAATATTAAAGAATTAAGGAGCTATAAAAAAAATTGCACATTTTTCGTCTTTAATTTAATATATCCATCCTGCCAATTCTGAGTTGGAGCAGTAAATGAGAGGTTTCAGTACTATATCAAAAACTAATAAGCTCCTTACACTTGGCGACAATCTCTAGAAGCATTAAAAAATTCTTAGTCATTGAATTGTGGGTAGCTACATATTATTTTTATTTTATTTAAGGTAATTTTCTGAATAAAAAATCACTTATGTAATATATTATATCTTAACTATATAGACATACAGTAAAAAATGTAGCATCAGATATATTGTAAAGCATTAAAAGAGTAATTAGATGAAAAAAATTTTGGTTTTTTACTTCCAAAAATCAAAATTATCTTAACTCCCTATTCGCATAAAGTGGAATAAAAATACTCGGGATTTGCGATATTAATTTCTTTTATTTTTTTGTTATTGTTGGTGTATACAAATATATTTGAAGTACATATTTTTTTCATTTATAATCAACCTGGTGAGAAATACTTTATAACAAATTATTGGTAATTTGACATTATCAATATTTAATTTAATTTCTTTGTAACAAATCTATGTAAATAATTAAAAATAAGTTCATGATTAATTTTAAACAAATTTTATTTTATGAATTATTCTGCACTTGCAACAAATAACTTCTTCCATTGGAATGCATCTTTTAGATATTTTAATTAATGTATTTAATTTCAAGTGCACATCTATAATGGACGACTTCATAGGCCCGTCCAAAAACTGTTTTGCGGTCATATCCTCCAATTTAATCGTTGACAACATTTTTTTAATAATAATTTTATTGGCCCCACTTAGTATTTCTGTATCGTTTACATTTTTAATATTTTTTTTTTTTGCATAAAATTGAAGAACACGTATTTTTCAATCATTTCAAAAAGTCTTAGTTTATCTAGTACATTACTAAGCTTTTCTAAAACCACTACAAAGGATGACAGGTTTAAATTGTAAATAGAAGATGGCAATATATCTTTCATCATTCGAACTGGAATAGAATTAATGATCTTGACATACTTGTGAGAAATTGGAAATTTTAGACATTCCACTAATTCGAATAATGTAATAAAACACTTTTCCTTTATCAATTGCTCAGTTGTATTACTTAAAAAAGGAATTATGTATTTGTCACCTAAATAATCCAACTGTGCAATCTCTATTACAGAACTTTCATCTGGCAAATCGTTCCAATAGATATAATTCACAAAATATTCAAACACATAAGATTGAACATCATTCAAGCGAATTTCACAATTTTCTTCCGATTCTAAATAATTCCCATTGAACATCGAATTGAAAACCTCTGAGCATTCTGCCAAGACTTTCTTGTGACATTGTATGCGTTTTATTTCGTCTTTGGCGATTCCAACGATAAAAGTGCAATCCGTCGGTGTATTTTCCAAAAACATATGTCTCTCGACATTCCTGAAGTTCAATAAAAGAATCAGATTATATAGTAACGAATAAATATTTTTATTATATTTATTTATTAACTCACGAAAGTTCACTCCACTTCTTATCCTTATTTATAGACATTTTTGCAGAATTATGTTTCGTTTAGCTAAACTCGTCAACGTGATGTCTTCGTTCTTCTGTTTGGATTGGAGTGAAATAGTGGAAAGCACCGACTTCGGTTTTAGTTGAAATTGGAATTTTGCGATTGGAATACAACTGTCAAAATATTTAGTGTTGTAAACGTAAATTAGTGACCGTCCATAGTTGATCAAAATATGTACTACGAAGAACAGATACTCCGCCCATCCTAAGCGTAGCGAAGATAAATTTATTTTTTATAATATTTTGGCACACCTATTAAATTCGTGTGTAAACTTAAGTAATGTAAAATACCCGTGTATACCTTATTTGATAAATATTAGGGGTATTCAGGCAACTGATTCGTTGCTTAGTAGTTGATTACAACAAAAAATTGCACACGAAAATGAAACCAAGCAGAGAATCAACTATTTCGGTGAGTCTCAGATTAGTACAAATTTGATTAATAGTGCTGCCAGTCCCAAGTGTCGTAATAATAACTTAAAATAAACTTTGTATAGAAATTTGTTAGCTATTTCTCTCAGCTGTTTGAATTGTGTGTAAACAATTTTCACTGTTAACATATGTTTCGTTTTTGCTGTTGATGCGAGTGCTGCCAAGGCATTTACACACAACAAACTAATCAGATTACGCATTTTGGGTCGTTCAAGCAACTGATTAACATCAAAATGCTAAATTTTTTTTATATGAAATTTTTGAATCAACTAAGCAACTAATCAGTTGCCTGAATACCCCTATTATTTCTAAAAGAATTTTAAAATAATAGCCGTAATTTTTTCTTTCAGAGTTGTCAAAAAACAGCAGTAAGTCTGGATGAAACAAATTGGCAATATGTCAACTGCCTTGTGTTGTGTTGTGTTGTATACACTAGAAATTAATTAATTTAAAATAAAGAAAACAAGATGAATATTAGAAGGGCAATTGTTAACATTTTCATCTTGTATACTTAAATTAATTTACTTATTTATGTATTTGAATTTATAAGTAAATGAAATAGTCATATAATTTTAACAGATGATTGGAATTTTGCAGGATATTTCCAGTGAACATTTATAAGAGATTAATTTTTGAATTTGGCTGCACTATTACTTAAGTCGTAAAAATTTTTACGAGTAAAATCTAACTTTGAATCAAGTGCCTAACTTTGAAGATTTTAAAACCATTGTTGTTGCGAGTATTTTCTTTTACTAATCTGAAAGAATATATTATCGCTTATATCGATGATTCAAGATAGTTTTTTGATGGCACCCGTCTTTATAGCATTTTCATACATATTTGTTACACTCACTGTCAAAACTTTTATGGATGCGATGCCAAAAAGTTGTTATTTAAAAAAAAACATGAAGTTTTGAATATTATATATATCGTTATAGCACATTCACACTGTTTCATTTAAACGATTTGGTCATTATATCCAGTAATGGGTATGATTTACTATACAAAGTGATTCCGTATATATGAGCTCATTATTAATAAATTAGCTCATTTAAGACGAAAAAAGTCGTATGTAACCCTTAAAATAAATTTTCTACAAAGAAAATGATCAAATTTTGCAATATTTGTTATGTATTTTAAATATAAAATGTAAACAATCAACAGCTGAGTAGTAAACAAAGGCACTGAGAAAGTAAGTATTTAATAAAATCTTTGTTTTTATTAATTGAATATTAATATTAAATAATCGAATATAGGAAACGCAGACAGAGTACAAACAAAGCAAAATAAAAACAACACTCGTTTAATCCGATCACCAAATACTTCCCAAACAAAATAATGAAATACAGTTTGTTAATGCTTGTATCAGTTTATATAGGATTATTTTATTGGCTTGTTTGTTTTGAGTCTGCTTATATGTCCTTTGTTATAAGTTTTGGTATTTTTGTTCACTTTGTGAACAAATGTTAGGTGGAAAATGAAAACGATGTGTCAGTATGACATTTCTGTATTTAAAACTTATCGATAAATTATTATTTTTAACGCTGTACTCAAGACTAGATATTAAACTTAAAACTGAAACTAACTTTAAATAAAAATTAAACTTTGGTGAACCTATTTATAGGTAAGATTTTTTTATATATTTATACATTTAAAAAAATTTTTCTATATTATTATATATTAGGGTTAATTGACACACTACATTTTCAGTTTTTTTTACCAATGCTATTTTCGATTGCATCAACTTTTTCAATCAAGATTCACTTTTAGTACAGTTTCAATTTCGATTGGTGTATCTCGAGAGAAATGTATTAGACTCGAGATTAATTTTTAACTCCAGGTATTTTATAACTCTAAAGTAGTAAGATCACATTGCAACTAACAGCTGTTTGATGTGACTTGACAAATAAAGTGTGATTTTTCTCAATATATGTATTTATGGAGAATAGTAGTATCTACTAACACTACTACAAAAATAAAAGATTACTCTAAAAATGTTCGATTGAACAACACAGTTTGACAGATTGAGCATAAATCTAGATAGATTTCAGATTTACCAATCGAACACGCCATAATTTTTAATTTAAAAACTAAAAAATCCATTTCCTTTTTTTAATCCATTTTTTTTTATGAATTATATACCATTTAAACGCTTATTGTTTAGGTTTTTATATACATGTTATTGCTTTTGGTCCTGGCTGACATGCATTTTTTAAAATATTTTTAAACGAAAAAACTCCATACTTCTCAAAAATTTAATTAAAACGGTCAAAATGTGTCTCACAAAACGCATATAATATTTCAAATATTTTCAATTTCTATAAGAAAATTGTTTTTTTTTCAACAAAATATTTAAATGTGATCAAAACTGAGACAAAAAACAACTTTTAATATTCAAGTCATTTAACAACTCTGTTTATCTCCAGTCAGCTTTACACATATTAGGTCTGTTCCACGTGCTGCTTGTAGTAAAACTCAAAAAAAATACAAGTAAAACACAAGTAAAGTACAAACTGAGAGCGTAACACAAATAAAATGCCAAGTTACGCTCTTTACATAGATTTTTATGGAACAGCCACGGTTGCCACTTATGGTACTTTAGTACCAAAATTGGTACTTTTTTTTCCGTTTGGTACTCTGGTACTCATGTTCAAAAAATGGTACATTTTCGGCGACCCAACTTTATTGTGAATATTGTATTGTTTTATACTTTTTTTACATTTTATATAAATTGTATTTTCTTATAAAAAGACAATAGAAAAATTTTGGACCTTTTTTTACAGAAATGGTACCTTTTTAAACCAATTTTGGTACAGAAAAAAATTTTGAAGTGGCAACCGTGGCTATGTGTAAAGTCTGGTGAGAGCACCATTGCCGCGCAAATAAACAACACAAAAATTTTAATTCAAACCAAAACAGCTGATTCAGACGTCAACACAAATTTTACTTGAAATAAAATATACGAGTAAAGTCTAGTAGCGTCAAGCAATGGGTTAATCGCTTTGACTCAGTCGACAAAGTAGTGCAAAGCAAGAAATAGTAAAGAAGCAGAATTTCCCTTCCTTCTAGTAGCGTCAGGCAATGGGTTAATCGCTTTGACTCAGTCGACAAAGTAGTGCAAAGCACGAAACAGTAAAGAAGACATCGCAGATGTATGCATTTTTATTACAAAGGGAATTTGAATTCAAAAATATTTAAATTAAATTTACTCTATTTTAATAAACAGTAATTCAGAAATGTAAGTTCATGGCTATGCCACAACAAAGTAACAAATTTGTTTGTTTGTATTTGAGAAATAATTTATTGTGTTTGTTTGACTTTATGGTTAACAATTTTTAATATAAAATTTGTTTTCCAAACTATACACTTTTTTTGTTCAAAAGTTCTTAATTTATGGAATTAATTTTATTTTTTTTTTTTGTTTTTAGCTAAAAGATAATTACAGAAATGCACCAAAAAAAAAATGCACCACAACAAACCAAGCTCTCTATGAGCTTCCTGACATTAATTACCAACTATAACCAATCACGAACATGGCAGAGCGGAGGGCTTTGAAATTAAAATTTGATCGTATTTATGAAAGATATAATAATTTATTGCAAGAAATCAGATCTGCAGACTTACGTTTCAGACAACTATGTGACCAACTTGACAATACATCTAAAAATACTGGACCTTATGAAAAACTCAAGAAAGATGTCGAAATTGAATATTGTAAGCTGGCAAATGACAAGGCACTTCAAGATAAAATGAGTTATTTTAAATTCTTACACAATAAACTGGCACAGATCAAAGAAGTGGTCACTGATTACGATAACAAGGTTTTGGCCAACTTAAAGTTGTAAACTGCCAGTGAACTAAAGTCTACATTTTAAATTTAACTAATAATTGCTATAAATTTAACTATTGCTACAACTATTTAATAATTCCTTCAATCAAAAAAATTACTGATAAAAGTAATATATTGTATTATAGAATAATTGGTATATATACAATGAAGAAACAAGATCTTTCAATAATATTTCTTAATTCATTAAGTATATATAATTAAATTATAATGTATTATTCTTATAATGTATTATTTTTTACAACGTGTAATATTATAACAGACTATCATAATATAGAAAGAGAATAAAAAAATTACAAAACATTTCTTAATTTATTAAATAAAAATACAAAATATGAAGAGCCGCAACTAAAAAAATCGTGTGTTAAAATTATATATTGGGAGTTTAGATTTGGGGTTTTGTTTGTATGGAAATACATAAACATTAAATACAAAACATAAAATAATAACTTATTATTTTATATTAAAACTGTTTTTTATTTTTATTTTTCATTCAATTATTCGTTTACAAGATGAGATCTTTATATTCCGTTAGCAGTCATCTCTATCAGTAGTTTATAGTCTGACAGCGCTAAGTGGCGCC